CTTTGAGGCATACTGTCACAGTATCGATCCTCAAATGTGGCTGTAAGTTAAAGACCAAGGAGAAGCTCGCTTTTTGCACAGCTGATCTTTTTGTGTATGAGCAGGGGCAGGATTATGCAGAGGAGGGGAATAACCTTGGCCCAAACTCTTGAACTAAGACTATTTATTTCCTGTATAATTCCATGTGTTCCTGAACTGGTGGCAGAATGCAACGAACAGGTGAGATCTAAGGTGAAAGAAGAGAAACTGGGCTTATCAGTGGAACAAAAGCTGATGACATCCCTTTTTTTCTTCCAGGTGCCTTCTTGCATTAGTTTTCTAGGGTTGCAGTAATAAAGCATCACAGAGTGGGTGCCTTGAGCAACAGAAATGTATTTTCTCACAGTTCTGGCAGCTGGTAGGCCAAGATCTGTGAACTGACAGAAGCCACGGAAGCTCAGTGCAGACCCCTCTCCTTGTTTACAGATGGCTGTCTTCTTCCTGGACCTTTCCAGTCTCTTTCCTCTGCCCCTGTCTCTATCTGTATGTCCTCTCTCTTTTGTGTAAGAAAGAAAGATTAGGGAATGGATTAGGGCCTACCTCAATGACCTCATTTTATCATAATTACTGTTTAAAGACCACATCTCAAAATACAGTCACAGACTTGGGGAGGACACAGGCAAATCCATGACCGCTATCTGGCAGATGCTCCTTACCCCATAGAATTTCTGTTACCCAAAAATAAGCATGTACATCGGCTAAATAGCATGTGACAAATGAATCTTTAATTAATTATGATGCAGTTTAAGGAAGTTGGGTTACTTTGTGATTTGAGAAAATACATCAGGTAACTAAGGCGTGAAAGAATAGCATCAAGTACTGGTCCTCAGCTCCAAGTGATCTGTGAGGAACTGCCTGAATGTCTATAGATTTAGTTCTATGTCATTTTGTGAACTAGTGAAGTTAGGTGTTTTTTTTTTTTTTTTTTTTTAGGTTTCTGAAGGTCCTCCTTGTGTGTCCAACACATGGACTAATTGTTCTTCTGGGCCTCCCTGGATTATAGTAGTGCTTGCTTTTGAGCTCCACAGCAAGTAACTAGTCTAAAATCCTTAAATCTTAGTTTAGAAGCAGAAGTTACTGTGGACAACTGATGCTTCACTCTTCATCTATGTCAGAGTTCTCTGGGCAGTATAAGGCAACCTAAAGCATTTAAATCACTGCAGGAACAGCTATGGTAAAGAAATTTATCCTGTTTGGCCCAAAGTAGTTACACTTTCATCTTGCTGGAATGAATCAGTTCCAAGCTTCCTCCAAGATAGTGGAATTCAGTGAATGAAGGACAATTCTAGCCCTTAATGGAACTATGAAGTGCTCAATCTTCAGTGCTTCTTCACTCCCATCGTTGTTCCAACAACAGCTATTTTTCACTTACTCGTTGCCCTTCTGCCTTTTGATACCAGAAGTGGTTCACTGTTTCCAAAATCCTTTTAGTCTCCTCTTCCCCCGGTGAAAGCACACTGCCTCAAATCTTAAATGTGTTCTAGGCTTACCCCACATTTATAATCAAATCCCTTCTCTACCCACAGCTCTTCTGGGATGTCACAAGTAATGAGCAATCTATTGACTTGGGAAATAAGTCATTTCATTTTTGAAAACTTTCCATTTTTATAACATTCTTCTTTTTGGAAAATTCATTTTTCTTCTATCTAATGCGCAAACATTGCTCCTAGTCTGCTTTCAAGTAATCATACTCAATCAGTTGAGTCCATCTTCCACGAGTAGCCACTGCTGTCTCAGTTCAGCTAACGTTCCTGGCCTGAGTCTTCCATATCTCTGCTGAGACAATATCATAGCTCACACTACCAACCTGGGCTTTGGGTGCCCTTCTGTGACCTCTTTTATTGGACCCTAATTGTCTAAGTTCATTTAAGTGCATCAACACTAAAATCTCACCTTTTAGGGCTCAGATCAAATCTCATCTTTTCTAGAAGACTCTTTGCTGTCAGTCACTCAGATACCAAGTAATAAGGGCTTCCTTCCTGGTTTTCTCATACCATCTTGCACATTATCTTGCTGTAACACTTACCCCAGTGTTTCCTATGTATTGGTTGATGTTTTCCCTCTTTTACTGCCTTATCCTCTCTTTGACTAGAGACTGTATCTTATTCATCACAGTATCCTCTATTTCTGACTCAGAAGAGTGAGGTACATGTTTGTTATTTGCTTTAATGATTAAAGAAATCAAAGTTTGAATTGTGGGTACCACAATTCAAAAGGGACATATTTTTGTTCAAGGAGATTTCTAATATTTCTCAGATTAAACAGTTTAGGGAAAAATCCTCAATGTCTTGTATTTAAACTAGCCAAGACAGATTGAGAGACTTGTGGTGTGTACAGAGTATATGTAGTCTGATATACCACTGAGATTGCTAGAAAGTTCTGGATGTCGCAGTGCAAATCATGGTTGGTTTTCCCAAACCTCCACCCTACTTAATGAGGCTTGACATTAAAAAATCAGTTTTTTTTCTCCTCTTTGAGGGATGATTGACCAGCAGGCTTACTAATTTACTTTCCTAAGATTCACTTTCATAAAATGGTTGGAGGTCACTGTTATCAGACAATGATTAGCCTACCCAGAAAAAATAGGGAACAGAAATGCCTGTCCTCTCTCCCAAGACATGTATTTTTCTGAAAGCATTTTGGTCAGCTTGCAATCTCATTTTCTTGCTTACTTATATTATGTGAATGTGGTCCTGCTATTTTTCAAATCCTGAATCCATTGAAGGCAGCCCTCATACCTTGAGATAACGCTTCCTCTCCAACCCATAAATTGGGTAAAAGATTTTGAATCTTACTGTTTTCAGGACAAATGTATTAAGCTCTTCTTGCAAGTAAAGTATGTCCTTTCAGGGCTAGGAAGAGTTCATTCTGATCAAAATCTCAAAATTCTTCTCTGTGATGACTTCTGTCCACTTACATATCCCAGATAGTCTATATCTAAAGAACTATTTAAGATTTTTTTAAAGTTAGAAAAAAGTCAACATTTATTCTTGCCCTGATTTGTGACCAACTCAGCTATTGTCTTCTTGCTTTCACATTTTTGACTGAGTTCAGTCTTTGAAAAGTGGCCCAGTAGTTTACAATGCGTAAAGACTCCTCAACAACCCTGTTAGTAAATTGCTGTTCCAAAGTGTATTGTTCTTTTAAGAGCAGTTATGACCATTCCTGTAACGATCTATGTTGCATGTTTACCTTTGTCATTTGGTGTAGCCTAAAAGCAAATTCTCAGGAATAAATAAATACAGTGAGAGTTTTCCCATCTTTAGTGGGGCTGGGAAGCACATTGGGAGGGACATGCGGATGTCTCAAAAGCTTAATTCTAGTCTTTGGACAATGCAGGAGGGATTGCTGTCCCATTCTTTATATTTTGGACATATAAACAAGAGTTATCAGAAATTTCAGAGGGAGAAATATTAAAACTAAGTGAAGTTCTCTGTTGATGCTTGAACTTTAAACATTTTTAAAGATTTTTTAAAGAGATAAATTTACTTTATTATAAATTTTCAGAATTTTGGCCCTCCCTATTGGTGCAACAGGGCAACACTGCAAGCCAGCCATAGCCGCTTCAGTGTGAGTTCGATCCCCAGCCCAGGAGGTGACCTACACGGCGCAGCAGACCTCTCCTGTGTTGCCCGCTTTTCCCCCCAGCAGAGTACTTTGTCGATCTGTCTACTCTACTCCCCACTCCGTCTCTGCTGAATCCTCGCACTGCCCCTGCACTTCTGGCCTGTACCCCAGTTCTGTAACTATAAATAAATAAATACTTTAAATTTTTTTTCAGAATTTCAACCTATTTATATTTTCTGTCTTGAATTGACAACCCCATTCAAGGAAGATAACTCTACTGACTGAATAACAAGTATGCCTGGGATATTGACCTAATTACATTTAGTTAATGCTGTAACTACCCAAACAATCTCCCCCAAATGAGGCACAGCATCACTATCAGAGAGAGATATCCGGATGATGATATGACCCAAAATACAAAAGCCTATGCTTTATATTTTAAGCTTGTTAGACCTGCCTGATGATATTGTAATTTGTAAGGTTGTCAGTGAGGCTCTACCAGCCCAGCCCACTGGAGGGGAGGTCTCTGTAGAAACATCTTCCTTTTCCATCAGTAAACAAGGAAAGAGGGGGTGGGTTTAGCTCTGAGAATTCAAAACAAGTTGATTAAGATGCATCTGAGCTAGAAGCTTTCATCCAAAGAATGCTGCAGTTGGGGGGTGAAGGTGGCGAGACCGGCATTGGACAGTTAGTGCAAATACAGTTGTCAAGGCAGGGAAAGAGGGTGTTGTTTAGTATTGAAATCATGTATTCCAGATGTGGGCATTTGGTAGTCAATCTGCTCTGAAGTGACATGCTGCTGAATCTTTAAAGGGCTTCAGCGGTAAGAGCAAAATCTGATTGGGCAAATTGCTAAAATATTTAAAGTGCAGCCTGTTAAAGCTTTTACTGTGAAGAGCATCACGTCAGAAGTTGTAGTCAGAAAGAGCGAGTAATTGGCTTTCCATCCTCATGCCAGTCAGTCAGCATGAGGCTCCATTCCTCTTCCTTCCTCTTCATTTCCAGTGCTAATAACAACCTGTGGGGGGTGTATGTGTATGTGTATGTTTGTATGCACATATGCACACAGAAACACACACATATACTGGAGTGATTGCATAGCTGGTAAGCTGAGATGACAATGAAATATCCAAAATAGAAAGGCTATATCCACAACATGATGTGATATTTCAGACAAAGGAGAACGGCACAGAAAAGTTGAATTATTACCTGACATTGGTCCAGTGCACTTCCAGGTCAGTGATGGCTGGGGCCGTGGTGTTGTAAAGGATGGGTTCAGAAGCAATGTGACACTCACTTTCTCTGAACTTTTATCTTCTCCCATCTAAGATGTAATCCCTGGGGCACTTTGCATGTTTCATTTATCACTAGGCTTCCTGTCCTTTTCTCCCCAGGCACGACCCCTTGTTAATTCCTGGCAACGATCAGATTGACAACATGGACTCCAACGTGAAGAAGTATGACTCCACCGGGATGTTTCACTGGTGTGCTCCGAAGGAAATAGAGAAGGTCATCCTGGTGAGTGAGGCCTACAGGAGCATGTCCATTGCCATATCTGCAGGGAAGAAAGTTTTCCTAACTGGATGGCTGGGATGATACAGACCTGGCCCTGATTATTTTTGATGATTGGGATTCAGGACACATATTGAAGCATTCATTAGTCTGTGAGCACCGAGTGGAATTTTCTCTGAAAATATATCAGATCGTTACAATAGAGGGTGGTGGTGTGCTGTGAGCCAGGCACCCTGAAGGGATCACCTCAATGCTGGTGGGTGTGCCTTTGGGAAAGAGTCTGCTGTGTCACTTACATTGTAGTCTTGGGTGTAAGTCACCTGGCCTCTTTATGCTTTCTTTCTCTTACCCGTTAGAGGATGAGCTGAGAATGCCCCTAATTTCTAGGGTTTAGAAAAGAATAAAATCCAATTTATGACTCAATGAAGTTACTTCTTAATGTTATTCAGTGCAATAAAGAAATCTGAGTGCTACCCTGTATTATCTTTCTATAACGAGGTCTTGTATTCTTCTAGATAACAGCCTTGGATAGTTTTTCATTCTTACAAGTTTCCATTTTACTGTAGCTGTATTATTTTATTTATTTATTGTAGTTGCATTATTTTTTATGGTGGTGATGTTAGGGTTCAGAGGTACGTGATTCAGAGATACAAGTTCACACCACTTTGGGTAAATGCTACCGTGTCAGTGACCCTTCTCTGCACATGATGTAGACAGGCACAATACCTTTACTGGTGGTGACAGGGTGAACCCTGGGTTCCTCTTGAGGGCTGGGGACTCAGAGCTCTGTTTGGGGCTTCGCTCATTCCCATAGCAGGAGTGAACTTCTCAGGAATGTCAGCACAGATAACAAGCCATTCTACTCTTTAGACTTGTCTTATTAATGGCTTTATGTTTTAATACCTACATCGGCTTTCCTCCAGTTTTGTCTTGCTAATCCATGAAAAATGGATTAATAATCAGGAAGGTCACATGGAAGGGTTCTTTCTCCTTGGTGCTTCTAATCCCCAGATTGCTGTGGCCTGCTCCTTTATGTCAGCTGGGAAAATCCTATCATTACTGATGCCGTGGCCACCTTCTAAAAAGGACTGGCCCAGGGGCCCTCCCTGGTGGCGCAGCGGGTTAAAGCACAGCACTGAGAATCTAAAGCCGCTTCCGCATGAGTTCGATTCCCGCCTGCCCTGGAGGTGACCACATGGCGTGGCAGACCTCTCCTGACCCGCCTGCTGCTCCCCTCAGCAGTGTACTTCGTAGATCTGCCTGTTCTGCTCCCCGCTCTGTCTCTGGTGAAGCCTCTCACCACCCCTGAGCCTCTGGCCTGTACCCCAGTACTGTATGCACAAATAAATAAATCTTTAAAAAAAAAAAAAAAAAGACTGGCCCAATTCCTCAGAATGATTTTGTACTTTAATCCACTAGCATTTTCCCCAGTTTTATCTGAATGCATATGTGTGTTTTTTCAACTTAATTGTAATTGAGTATTAAAAACCAAAACAGCATTGTGTTGAAGGCTGTATCAGAGGTGTGAAAGCTGCAGACAAAAACGCAGAAATTCAGGGTTCTCAGCAAACGGTCATTCTCCAGTTTACTGGTAGTGCAAATGGTTTTAATCCCAAAGCTGCTCCTGTGTTACATCCGACTGGCACATCCCCTGCACTTCTGCTCTGGTCCCTTCAACTCAGTCTGATGTTACTCTCCAGTGGTAGGTCAAAGGCTAAGGGCCATACATGGAACCCAAGGTTTAACAGCTTGCCTACGTAGTGGTGAAGGGTATAGGGTAACTGACATCCAAAGTTCCTTTATGCATGGAGGAGTTTACCAGTTTATAGAGATGTTACTACCTCTCTCACTTCTCTCATATAAAAAGGAATATTCTTTGATAAAACATGCATAAGAAGTCTTTTCTGTCCAGGCACTGTTCTCAATGCGAGGGTTCCAAGCCCAGAGAATGACCAATCTCACAAAACTCATGTTGTAGTGGAGAATGAGAAGATCTCCAGGGAGGCAAGAATATGCGCGATGATGTTTCAGATATTGGTCAAGTGCTATGAAAAAATAGAAGAGGGCCATGATTGGGAAGCATGGGAGGGGGTGGGCAGGGAGGGGTTGGGGTTGGTACTCAGACAGTGTGGCTCAATAAGCTCTTTTTTAAGCTTTTTTAAAAGATTTATTTATTTATGCATACACAAGCCAGAGGTGCAGGGGCAGTGAGAGGCTTCACCAGAGACAGAGCGGGGAGCATAACAGGCAGATTGATGAAGTACACTGCTGAGGGGAGCAGCGGACACGTCGGGAGAGGTCTCCTGTACCATGTGGGTCACCTCCGGGACTGGGGATTGAACTCTCACTGAAATGGCTTGCACTGAAGCGGCTATGGCTGGCTTGTGGAGCTGCACTTTAACCTGTTGCACCCACCAGGGAGGGGCCAATAAGCTCTTTCTAAAGTGACATTAGGGCAGAGAGTAGACTACTCAGTGGAACAAGCTCTGTGCAGGTACTCTGGGCTGTGGGCACCTGATAGGTACAGGACACTAACGGCTTTGGGGATTGAAAACATGAACTGGCCTCACATTTGAAGAATGACCCTCTGACTTGAGAGAAGATATAAAATGTAGCTGTGAAATAATGTATCAACGGACTCAGGCATACCCGGGTGGTATGGCTACAGCCAGAACCGTGTCTGGACATCAAAGTGTGATGGGATCCAAAGTGCTGTTCATGCCTAGGAGGGAAGGATGTGTCTACATTGAGAAGTCCATATTCCTGGCAAGGGATACAGGATACTAGCAGGTTGTACTTGGAAGCAGTTAAGGCTGCTGAGGTCCAACTTAGCTTGGAGGTTGCAGAAGAAGCACAAGGTACCCACAGGAATGGCTTCTCCAGTAGGTCATAGTCCTGGCAGAATCAGACTCCCCCAGATGAGACCCAGCAATCATGACAAGGTCCTGCAGGTGATGTTGCTGTGTCAGTCTAAACATTGGTGTGTTGGTCTCCAGATCTAACTTCCCGATTAGGCATCTGTGCTCCCGCCACTCTGCTAACTGGAACCTTCTTCTCTTTCCTATTCTTTCTAGCCCCTACTCCTCAGATTTGCATTCCTCAGATGTGTTGTGCCTCCCACAATCCTGGCCAATTAAAAATAATTAGCAGCCTCATCACAGCACCCAACAGACTGTTGACACTTTGTTGGTGGTACCCAAGTCTCACACTTCTGTGCCCCCAAGATAACTAACTCCAGGTCTTCCTGAGGTGGTGACTTGGGTTGTGACTCCCCAGTGGGTCTCCTTGGTCATAGCTTGGAAGACATTTCTAATAGCCCATGTCTGAGTGTCCCCACACTGTTGCAGAGGGAAACCAATAATGGTGACAGTTTCTGCTTTGTTGTAACGATCTAGGAGTGAAAGCTAGATTCTTCCTCTCCTTGGGGGTTACTGTAATAACTCTGATGTTGTCGTGAATGCAATATTGGCATTTAAACAATCAATACACGGTTCGATTCTAGGGATTAAATTGAGCAGCATTTGATATGTACAGTGGACATTAATATGCCTCCCCAAAGCATTGTTAGCCGTCTGGGGCCACCCAGGAGGCAGTGGGTAGACAGGGAGGAAGGAAGGCAAGATGGGAGATCACCTGCTCATATAGTTGGCATATCTCTTTATAATCTTTTGTCAGAAAAGGTAATGATAGGTGTACATATGTTTATATATATATATAGATAGATAGATAGATAGATAGATGTATACATATATGTGTATATATATATAAGTATAATGTGTATATTACACTCATATAATAATATATGCATTCTCAATTATAAACATTTAAAACTGGCGAATCCAAAACAATAGCATATGATGGCTCATGTGAACACTCAACAAATGTTTATTTGAACCTTGGCATAAATGATTCTTTAGTCCTTGCAACAGCCTTGTGGGGTCTTCGCTCTCACCTCCCACATCTGTGCTTCTTGCAGACCAGAAGTGAAGCCGCCATGACCGTCCTGAGTGGCCACGTGGTGGTTTGTATCTTTGGCGATGTCAGCTCAGCCCTGATTGGCCTTCGGAACCTGGTGATGCCACTCCGTGCCAGCAACTTTCATTACCACGAGCTCAAGCACATCGTGTTTGTGGGCTCCATTGAGTACCTCAAGCGAGAATGGGAGACACTTCATAACTTCCCCAAAGTGTCCATATTGCCTGTAAGTCCAAGGTCACATTGTTGATGCTTTTTTTCTTCTTTTCATCCGCAAAAGAAAATCCCAGCTGGATATCATAGTGGTAGCTTTGATCATGCCTCTGCTCCTTCATCTGGGCCTGGGCCTGAGGACTCACACGTGCCTTCTCCTGTGACCTGTCTAGGAAAATCCAAACCCTGGAGACCTTATTAAAAGGATTTAGCAGCCAAGTGCATCCACTTGTCAGGGGGGAAATTTTCTTGGTATTAACCATATCAGTTTCTAATGTTTTCTCTTGCATATCTAAACCTGAAGAATTTTGTGAGTTTGATGCTATTTTGCAGAATTTCTATCGTTTATGACAGTATTAACACTTAGGGCAAATTTTGATTGTGCCACGTTCTGTTTTTTTTTTTTTTTTTTTTTTTTTTTTTTTTTTAAAGATTTATTTATTATTTATTCATACAGAACTGGGGTACAGGCCAGAGGCTCAGGGGCGGTGAGAGGCTTCACCAGAGACAGAGTGGGGAGCAGAACAGGCAGATCTACGAAGTACACTGCTGAGGGGAGCAGCGGGCGGGCCAGGAGAGGTCTGGCTCGCCATGTGGTCTCCTCCGGGGCAGGCGGCAGGCGGGAATCGAACTCATGCGGAAGTGGCTTCAGATTCTCAGTGCTGCGCTTTAACCCGCTGCGCCACCAGGGAGGGCCGCCACGTTCTGTTTTTAACTAAATGGGAAGTTCTACAATTCCGGTGGCCCACCACCTTCCCTTTGTTAGAAGTCCAGCAATGATTCTATCAATTTGTGATGTGTGTGTGCAAGTGTGATTCCTGATTATGAAACACTGGGTGCAAATCTAAAAAGAACAACTTAGGGGCCCAAAAGTTAGTGTGAAGACCTGAGTTACATGAGCTGAGTGTCATGTAATGAGCTGCTTTTTAAGTGTTAATCAATGCACCTTCCATAAACTTTCTTTTTCTTTTTTTTTTTTTTTAATGGAGCTGGGGTATAGGCGAGAGGTCTGGGGGAAGAGAGTTGAGAGGTTGAGAGGATTCACCAGAGATAGAGTGGGAAGTAGAACAGGCAGTTGACTGAAATACACTGCTGAGGGGAGCAGTAGGAAACACAGAAGAGGTCTGCTGAGCATTGTAGTTCAGCTCCCTGGCTGGGAACTGAACTTGTGCTGCAGTGGCTGCCAATAGTTTCAGTGCTGTGACTTAACCCCTTGGGCCACCAGGGAGGCCCTCTGCCATAAACGTTCAATGTTGTAATGTGCATTTCAACATTTGACACACTTCTTCATTCTGTGCAAATATCACTTATCCTCTGCACTTTTTTTTTTGGCAGTTCACCTTCCTGAAAGTGAGGAACATGGATATGCCACTACATTGCAAGAGGCTTAAGTGCTTCCCCACTCATGGATCCAAATCCACTGTGTGCTTTTAGAAAAACAGCTTTTAGAACCTCATAAATGGGAGGGAAAAAGTCAAGTAATGTAATTCAATAAAGAACTCCTAAGAATCTTCCCATAAGTGTCCACCTCTTGTCCTTAAAGGTACCTGGCATGATAGGTACTCAATAAATATGTAATTTAAGGAAACTATAGACAGATAGCTTTTGGATGCTGGGCCAAAAATTCACTGACTTAAAAAATATATGTCGTTAAAATACTCACCTACAGAAAAAACAGACACAGAGAAGAGCATAAGATCTATACCTAGCTAATTTCATAGGTAGTAGATATGATTGTATGTTTCCATGAGTATCTTCCTGTGTAAGTATTCTTCATGGTCTCATGCAAGCACATGAATCTGAGTCTACAGTATTTTGTAGAGTTGATTATTTTGCTGGCTGTGTGAGTGTGTGTGTATGTGGGTCTTTCCTTCAGCATGTGCTTGTCCACATCCACTCACCTGCCTGCATATATATGAGAGAGCTCTCATCTGTGCTGGTCCTTTTCAAACCCTCCAAAATCTAGTACATGCAGATGTGACTTATCTAAACAATGCACCTTTATCTATGTTTTCATTCCTTTGCCTAAATAGTACTTCACATATAGCTGGCACAGGGAAACACAAGGTGTTCCTCTCCATGTCATTTGTATCTTTTGGATTTTGAAATCATGTACTATGTCTGCACAGGGATTGCCTTAGATCACAATTACTGCCATATTCCTTACAAGGTGAAAATTAAAAGAATATGGATATAGGCAGTTAAGGCTTGTGGACTGGCAAGATGATTCAGGATGTTGGTCAGACGGACTGTGTATCAAGAGGATTCAGGAATAGAAAGGCTTCTCTTTTTCTCAAAAGAGACTGTTTCAGAGCCTGGAACTAGTAGCTTTCCAGCCCTCTAGCCCAAAATGCTTCTTTCTTCATAATTGCACTTGGCAGGAAAGTCCTGGGGGGCTGAGGGTAGCAACATGACTCTCCAGAGTCATGGTGGAGAATAGATTCCTCCATCTCTGCAGTTAAGTCCCATCTCCAGGAAGGAGAGCAAGGGAAAGAAAGCATCCAGAGATTTTTGGGCCATTGGCAAACCTTCTCCCCACACAGTTAGTTGAAAGCAGTCAAGTCTCAGGTCTGCATTAACCAGTAGGCAAAACAAACTGGAGAACCAAGGAGGCTGGTGGCTGGATGTAAAAATAATGCGACGCCCCCCAGGGCTGTGACAGTTCTGCACCCAGCTTGTGGGGCATGACCCCCCTCCTGCAAGAACCCTCCTGTGTATCTGCAGTTGCATCTCTGGCTTCTCTGTCAACACCAGCTTGATCTGAGTTTTTTCCTTGTTGTTGTTATGTAATTTAAAAAACAAATCTGTTTACTGGCTTATTTATTTTTAATTACACCACTAATATACAAATATGTTCTTGTTATAAAATATTCAAATAATACAGAAGTATATAAACTTCAAAAACAAGCTTTTCCCTTCACCCCCAATATTATTCCCCCCCAGAGGTAATTACTGTTATTAGTTTAGTGTGTATTTTTCCTGAGCTTTCTCTCTGAATGTACAGATATTTATAAATACCTTCATAAATATGTAGTTTCATTTTGTGGGTTTCTTTTTACATTAATGAAATTGTAATTTGAGAATTGTTTAGAACTTGTTTTTGTTTTCCCTTTGTTCCCCACACCCTCCTCTGGCTTAGAGACCCTCCCAGGTGATGCCTATGGAGAAAGGTGTTTCCGTCTCTTAGACGTGTGTTTATATGTGTGTTTAAACATTCCTATGTTTTTTGGACAATTAGGCAATTCCCCCCCTTTTTTTTCTTGCTGAAAATATGCAATAAAATTATATGACCTGAAGTGTCACTCCTTCCCATCTCCCTTTTGCAAGATGCACATTCGTTCCATTCCCTCAAATTGAACACAGCTTTCAACCCCTCCCCATCACACTGTGTTCAATGGCTATTTCCCCCTGGCTGCTTTGGAAATTCTCCTCAGAGCTGCTATCTTTTGCCAGAGACAGAAGTGACTTGCCATTAAATAAACAGGCATTTGAAACCCACCCCCTCGTTACATTCTGAAAGCCAGAGGTTGCCACAGGACAGTTAACTCAAATCAAGACAATTTCCAGGCAGTAAGAAGATGTAGAACCTGGCATTATTTCTCTCCCGCGTTTGTTAGTAATAGCTTGATTGAGTATTGAGAGCAAAGTCTAAAATGCTGCCATCAGCACCGACTACCCTTTAGATTAGCACACAGCTCTTATTCCCTTGAATGTAGTTAGGCCAGCTTAATGTCAAGGCATAAAAAAGATGCTTGTTAAATAATTTCCCAAAGCTCCGGCTCAATCTTTAATTTGTTTTTATTTTTCCCCTCTTTCGTCTGGACCCTGGGTCTTACTTGGCTTCTCCTTTCTTCCCCTGCCTCCATGCCAAAGGGTACGCCATTAAGTCGGGCTGATTTAAGAGCCGTCAACATCAACCTCTGTGACATGTGCGTTATCCTGTCAGCCAATCAGAATAATATTGATGATACTTCGCTGCAGGACAAGGAATGCATCTTGGCGTCACTCAACATCAAATCTATGCAGTTTGATGACAGCATCGGGGTCTTGCAGGCTAATTCCCAAGGTAAGGACAGCCTGTAATACTTCTCTGCTGTGCCTACGGGGGACAGGGGCTGGCAAGAGGGATATCCTTCACTCAGTAATTCAAAGAAGCTCACATCAGCCTGCCTGGCAGGGAAACCTGCGGACTCCGTGATGGCTTTCAAAGGGACATCTGCTGCTGCTTCTTGCCATTTCAGTTTGAGCACCTGAGCACCCCCACACAGAGAAGCCTGCCTTCTTCCCAGAGAACAAGCCAGTCTTTAAATTGCCACCCCCTTAGCCTTTCCAAACAGTGGCTGTATGATTAGGGTTACCAGATAAATGTCAGCACTGCAAAGATGCTGGCTGAACAATCCCCAGTGTTTCTCTGTGGTATAGTCGTCTGCCTTTGACATGGGATGGAGGTGTTAAGCTTTGCCATTGTTATAGCTGCTTAAAGTTGTTAAACTTTGCGTTGTTGTAATGTATCCAAGGATGGCAGTCTCTGGAGAGGTGACACTTGCCAGCCCACGCTTGGTCTATAGGAGGCACAGCAGTATTAAATGACGTACATCTGCCTTCTCTGCCCTGGCCCAGTCTTCCCTGTTATTTGCTCTGGGATTTTGGGCAGATGGTCTAAGTCAAGATGTCATCTAGGAATCTCAGAGAGGCAGCATGGCAGAAACCCCGTAACAAACAAACCAGCTAATCAGAGCCTCGGTGGAACAGGATACAAGGCATTTTCCAAGTGACACCTCTATGCACTCCTGTTGTGAATAATAAGATCATTGTCTCACGTGACCTGTGGGTTGGGCAATGCTGGGTGCTTTGTGGGGGACCTTCATCCTTCCAGGATCCACCAGGATCTACCCAGTCAGTGTGGTGCACCATGTCTTGTCAGCTCAGCATCACACCAGCTCTAAACTGGCCAGCATTGTAGGAAAACCAGGGGTAGTAACTCCTAGAATCTTCCCTTCAACTTTTGGACTGGTGTCTGCCAACGAGACCAGAGCACTGGGGCAAGATCTGGAAAGTAACAGAGAAAAAGTAGCTTGCATTCTTTGGAGGCAGCTGCCCATAGCCCCTGAGCAAAGGAGAGGTTCAAAGTTCTGGAGGAAGTTTTCTGACCATCACTGAGTTGGCTGCTAGGTACCAAGAGGGAGGGTGAGGCTTCCCTGAGGGTCTTGAGATACACTTCCCAGGACAACTCACTGCTTAGTGTTACAAGTAAGATATTTAATAGCAGTCTCTTTGACTTTTGCTCCTCCATCCTTTCCAATGACTTCTGTTCTTTAAATAACCTTGATTGAGATCGCCTGATGTTTAATTTTGATAACTCCATATTATCCGGTTCCGCTTTCTTCCCCAAATCTAGTTCTTGGTATCTACTATCTTGGCTGAGCTTGCAGGGTGGAGCAACATCTATGCAGCTGGTTGGGGAAGAGCCCAGGGTCTCTCTTAGGGTGCTGGGATATTGCTGGGAAGACCACTTCCTACGTGGCCAGCTGAGGGGCAGGGGCAGAGGAAGTGACAATAGCTGGCCTTTTAAGAGTGAAAAGAAGCAAGGTAGCAGCTGGTGTCTACCTTTAAGAACTAGCTGTCCAAAGTGTTTCTTTTCCTGCTCCCCTGAGTGGGCATCACCTTGTTAGTGGATAAACCTCGTTAGAATTACAGAATCTAATGTCTCTTCCAGACCTGGGTCAGAATATGCATTCTGATGGCGTCCCCAGGTGACTTTTGTGACAGCTTTAATGCACAGTAATTTTTCATGATAGCAAAACTAGCCCAGTTAACTTGCTGATCAACTCCATTGTCCAATTCCTCCTCCACTGGAAAGAACTAGCCAGGAGAATGCAAAGCAGTAGAAGCAGAAGGCTGCATTTGGGAAGGAACTGACCGGGAGGGCAGCAAACACTTGCCTCCACAATGCCTCTCTTCCCAAGTTAATCATTTTTGAGGTTTATAGGTCAGATCTGAAAGTGTAGTATAATTACATATGCATTTGGCATAGCTCTTCATTCTAGCTCTCCTGAGTCCTATCTTAGCCTCCCAGATCCTATATGATGGGCCAAACAGTGAAAGTGCTTCTTTCTCAGTGTCTCACCCAGTGTTCAGAAGCTTGAACTGTTTTATCACAGAAATAATCAAGAAAAATTGAGTTGGATGGGAGGTAGAGAGAAAAGGAAAAGGATGCTCATTTTTGTACATGAGAAAGAGGAGTATTGCTTTTGTACGCACAATGCACACATGCACACACATGTGTGCACTCACACACCAAATGAGGATGTGTTCTCTGGCCAGTGGGGTCTTCACAGACCCCTGGTCAGAGCAGTGGAGAGGAGCCTCCAGCCAGAAAGCCTGTAGCCAGAAAGCTGTCTGTTCTGCTCTCAGCAAGAGAATGTCAAAGCTGTGGGCCCACTGAGTCCATATTTCCTCTTGTTTTCTTATGCCTGCTCCTGTTAGTCCTTTGTTTCTAGTACCCTCTTCTGGCAACAGTCTGACCTTCCAAAAGGATATGGTTCATGTGACCATCAACACGAGAAATTGCTGCTTCCCTGACTGTCCATCATGTATACCTGCTCCTGGGGTTTGGCCCTGTCTGTGGGGTCACATGGATAAGCTGAGTTTCCCAGCTGCTTTTCCTCCTTTCACCCCTTTGGCCAACTGGAATGCCCATCTGGGCACCTGGCATGACCAAACTCCAAATGCATCGGAAATTCAGAGTATGAGTAAACTTCCCATTATTTTCAATTGGGGGAAATAAATCTAGCTCTCCCCCTCCCCCCCAGTGATAGCTAAACATAGATTTCTCACCACTGCCTCAATTTTCATCACTATTGATTTTATGAAACCTTCATTCTTCTCTTTTTCTTTACTTCTCTTGTTCTATATTTCCATCTCTCCAGAGCCCAGCAGGACAGAAACATAGACTTAGGACAAATCTGTGTGCTCTCAAGCCAAAATAGTCATGCCATCTTCTGGAACATGGCTCTAAAGTAATACAGTATAACAAGAAAAATGTGTTTTAACATTGCCAAGCAGCCTTCCTTGGGATTTGTGTTCAGACACTTGCCACAGCCTGTTATTTGGTCTTCTATGCTAACAGAAACTCTTTCTCTCTTTTCTTTTCACATTCCTTTTGGTGTCACTTTTCTAGCCCACATGGTGTCAGAACTGACCCAGCGTAGGGATTCTGGACCAGACATTTTCTGAAAAGATCTAAAATGTGATGGCTGGTTGTCAGAAACAATTACAGAGAAAGGTGGCATACTCTGTGCTGGATGGTATATCCGATGTGACAGTTGGGTCTATGAGATGCAGTTTTAATATACAGCAGGCAAGGCTGCAGTGACAATTATATAAAGCAGGTGAAGTCTCTTCTTGCTGGTCAGCAAACATCAGCTCAGAACCACTTTACAGCTCTTTACCAGCAACTAAGTGCCTTTATTTACAGAGCGCCTGTCACTTCCCTTTGGCTGGAGAGCTGGTGTATTATTTAGCACGCATTTATCTGGGGAAAACATTTCAATTTAAATCAGCTGGTACAACAGTGGCTCTTGCCAGACTGTTTCCCTGTGGTTCTAAAAGACAAGAACTGAATCTGATCTTGGAAGGGAGGCTAACGGAGGGAGGAACGATCCATGCTCTGAGAGCTGCTTGAGTCAGTGCATGAAAGGAGGGAGCATGTGATGGAGTCTCCTGTGATGCCTTTATATCAAATCATGAAATGAATGTCATATTGTTTCTTCCTGCTTAGCCTTCCAATAAGGGTAGCTCTAAGAGAAAAAAAAAGAGTAAATGAGTGTCTCTTTTTTTCAGGCACTAAACAAGACCTGTCTACAAAGGTGACTGGAATTCAGCCTCTCACTTTCCTTGTGGGGCTCAGAAGAGAGAGGGAGGCACCCCATAAGCCATTATCAGGCAATGAGACAAGGACCATCCTAGAAATACAGGAGCACAGAGGGGTTCCTGTAACAAGGAGTTGAAAAGGCTTGTAAGGAGAGGTGACCTTTGTGGATGAGTTGATTACCTATGACTATTGAGCACTTATAATGTAGCTTACACGACTTGAGGGATTGACTTTTTCCTTTTATTTAATTTCAATAAATTTAAATAGTAGCATGTCACTAGTGTTTACTGTATTGAGCATCATGGGTCTAGAACATACTTTTTTTTTTTTTTAAATTTATCCATTTGTGCATACAGAACTGGGGCACAGGCCAGAGGCTCAGGGGCGGCGAGAGGCTTCACCAGAGACAGAGTGGGGAGCAGAACAGGCAGATCGAAGAAGTACACTACTGAGGGGAGCAGCGGGCGGGCCAGGAGAGGTCTGCCACGCCATGTGGTCACCTCCAGGGCAGGCGGGAATCGAACTCATGCGGAAGCTGCTTCAGATTCTCAGTGCTGTGCTTTAACCCGCTGCGCCACCAGGGAGGGCCCCAACTTTTTTTTTTTTTTTTTTTTTTTTGGCAAGAGCAGTTGAATAACCTGTTGTCTAGAGAAGCCAGCATTTCAGCGTTCTGAAACAGTGGGAAGTAGGGAGAGTTGTAGACTGTATATTACTCTTCCAAGTTGTAGAATAAATGAAATAATCGGTTTTCATACGCCTCCCAGGACTAATGTGGATGCCCGAGGCTGAGACGCGCAGGCACAGGGCTCGTGCATCTGTGATTGAGCGCACAGGAGTGCGCATGCGTGAGGTGGATACCTGCGCAGGACTCTAGGCATCAAGGGCAGTGTCACACCGCTTGAGAGAGAACGCCAGAGAGATGATGGGGAAGAAGAAGGCAAGGCAGGGAAAATGCTGGGGGGTAGGGGGGGTAGGGAAAGTGAGGAGGAGGGAAAATGCCAGAGAGAGGGGAAAGCGCTCAGAGATTGGGGGACTGGAAGATTGCCTGCCCTCCTGCCTGCCTCTTTACTAAGCCAGACCCTCATGCCTACCTGGCCGGCAAGGTACCCCTCCCTGTCTAGTTGCTACCTGGCACAAGTCCAGATAGGAAAAGAAATAGCAAATTTCACAGCAGTTTGAGAGTTCCTTTTATT